ACTGCCCAGCTCCCCTACTATAGCCCAAGGCTCCGTCTCTCGATGTACCTCAATCATAGAATCCATATCAACCTTTTCTTTTCCCTCCATTTCCACCTTATCTTCCACCTGTTTATCTTTAGACTGTACCCTTACTGAAGATATCTCCTTAGGATCCAACTCCACTACATATTTACCCTTGTCTAAAGACTCATCCAATCCCTCCCCACACTTATGGCAAAAAGTGTTCCTGGGCCCCACTATAGACCCACTTTCCACAACCTTGATCAATTCATCCAACTCCCCTTTCAACGTCTGGATATGGGCCCTTAAAACTGCATTAGGATCACATCTCTCGGATCCTGCTCTTCCCTTATTCAACAACACTCGCTAGTTAGCCTTTTCCGGCTCCCTTACATTTACTGTGACATCGGCATAAGTCATCCCAAGTCGGCTCCTTTCTTCAGCTATTCGACGCTTAGCCTTATCTCCGGCAACAAAGTAGTCGACAACTGCCTGAAACACGCGTGAAACCGCTATCCATCCCTCTCCGTTCACTCCTTCCGACACCATCACAACTCCCCTTCTACGCCTCTCCCCATACTGTGCTATCATCAGAAACCTACCACGACTGTTGTGCCTGAAAATGTGGAGGAAGTTGTGTATTAAATAATGTGCCAATGAGCGGATTGACGCGTTTACTTTGTGGGCCTTCGCTGAAGGCAAGCATTTATTGACTTTTACAGCTATACCCCTCAAGTCTTTGATAAATTACTTTTTTTATTCAAGAAATTCCACCCAGAAAAACTGGTGCTGGGTCAACAGGTTTAAGGTCGAACCTTTTTTTGACTGGTTTGAACTTTGACGGTTTCAGGTGATGACCGGACCAGTTCCTAGTAAGCCCAGTCGAACTGGCCACTTCAGTCTGATTTTGAAAACATAGGGTACAATATCGTGTTGAACTACCTCATCTAACAACTTAAGCTCTTAGAGAAGGACACATTTATTTATTCAAATTTAGTTTCCAAAATGATCAAACTAACGGCAACACAACCACAGTAGCCTCAAGGGGACTAGCGATTTGATCAGCACATAGTCTCTAACATTCAACTAGCCAATAAACCCTTAGCACATAACAGACCTTGAGAAAAGAATCATCACGCAAATGTATCAAGATGACAGTTGACAAACTTTGACATCAATAATGCACAGTAATGGTTTTGCTAAAATGGAAAATGACTAAGTGGATCAGAAGAATGACAGTTTTGTCTTCTTTTTTTTAAGGCTCCAATAAGGTAGGGACCACCACAATAATATAGCACCCAAAAATGTTTGCTTCATTTATTTTTCCAGGGTGGGGGTTTAGCACCAATATCTTTCAATCTTGTTAACTTCCGAAGTATAGACTTGCACAATTGCATCTTTAGAAAAATAAGAAATAGTCAACAAGGGTACATACCTTTTCAAGAAAGACGAGAAATGGATACTGAAAAGCTTTCTGGTTACCATTAATAGAAGAAGGGTGTATGTGAACTTCTCTTTTTCCATCGTACCAAACAGGACGGCCCTCAGTACTGCCTCCCTCAATCATGGCTACATTAGGATACAGACCTGCACATAGTATTGCCTGCATACGCACGTTGAACAATCAATA